ACTCAGTCAATCAATCAATCAATCAATCAATCAGCCAATGAATCAATCAATCAATCAATCAACCAATGAGTCAATCAATCAGGCAATCGGCCAATCAATCACTCAATCAGTCAATAAGTCAATTGATCAGTCGATCAAACAATCAGTCAAACAATCAAAACAATCAATCAATCAGTCAACCAATCAATAAGTCACTCAATCGGTCAATCAATCAATCGGTTGATTGATCAGTCAGTCAATTGATCAGTCAGTCATTCGATCTGATCACTTTAATCAATCAACCCACCGATCAACCAGTCAATCAATCAATGAACTGATGAACCAATCGACCGATCACCTTAAATTTATAAATCATTCAATCTCGGATGATCGATTTGTTGAATGGTCGAACGATTGATTGATTGTACAATTGGTTGATTGATTGCTTGGTTGTTGTTTGTTCGATTGCCACGCAGGTCTGTTCTCACACTTCTTGCAGTTCAATCCATCCACGAATGAGGGGAGCGTACCACCTCAGAGAGTGGTTTATTTCCTCCTTTCTGCGTGTCAAGGTAGAGGATTGGAGGGTTGGGTTTTTAGAGGGGGCGAGGAGGGTGTGTCGATATGGGGAGGGAGGCCAGAGTTCATACTCAATGAGGAGTTTGACAATGATTCGAAGGCGAAACACGTGATTTGGAAATACGTCCAGAAAGGGCAGTTGTTTGTGATCCCTACGGGAGCAGACCCGAAGGGCAATTGCAAGTTGTGGTGTCGATTGTGTGGCCACCGGTGCGTCGACAACAAAATCAAGGCCACTCGACACTTCAATACCACACGCGAGCATGACAGGTGTCCGGACGCGTGTCTGCACATCCTCAGGGAGACGCAGTGGGCAGGCATCATGCTAAAGGGGTTCCTCCCTGTCTATGTGAGGGAGGCTGATAGAAATGGTGAGCTCGATGTTCAGCATCCCCTTAACTGGAGATTGCCTGGCATCACGGCACGAGAGCCCACCCCCTGGTCCCCGTGGGCGACTTGGCATTGGAGGACCGTGGCCACAACGGGCGGACCGAGCATGTTAGGCACAGAGGGACGACCGCGTGGAGCAGGCTCCTTCAGAGGAGTGGGCCCGTCCGGAGGTGTGGGCCCCTATGGATAGGGCTCGTCGGGAGTGCACAACGAGGGCGGTGGAGATGGTGCAGAGGGCACCCAAACGAGACAGTTTGATCCAATGGGGAAGAGGGTGTGTGATCCTCACGATGCTGCTGAGCCCACGAGGGCATGCCGTGAGGTGGAGGGACCATCTCGCGCTCCATAGGTCGAGCAACAGTGGTGGAGGTTAAGGATGCTCCAACGAGCGAGAGATGAGGGCATGCAGGTCCCCGCAGACCTGGAGGAGGGGCTTGCGCTGACCCCTATGGAGGGCAGACAGGCTTGGCACCAAGTGCCACACCTGACTCAGACTCGCCTTGATGAATGGGTTCAACACCCCATTCAGTACGAGCTGGATATGGCCTACATCCGATACTTGTTGGCTGCGATGTACCATTCAACATCATCAGATCGGAGTGGAATGTGGCGCTCCGTGACGTACCTACAGGCCTCGTCAGCCGCAGTACGAGTTCCTTAGGACAACTCTGTTGTCCATGTTGTACGCAGAGCTCGACGAGCGCTTGGGGTATCACTGTGAGTCGTGGTCTGAAGGGGTGACTTTCATGACCGACGGTTGGTCGACTCATGCCAACCGCCCTCTCTGTAACTACTTGGTTGCAGGGAGGTTGGGGGCATTATGTACCGGGTGGAGGATATGTTTGGCAGGGAGAGGACCGGAGTAGTTTTGTACTGTAGATATAGGGAGATCATCCTCGAGATCGGTGCGGAACATGTGGTTGCTATATGCACGGACAACGCGTTAGCCAACAAGGAGGCTTACCATTTGCTCCGTGGCGACCCTGACGGGCGACTGCGTGACATCGCGATGATTCATTGTGCAGCTCACTGCTGCAATCTGATGTTGATGCACATCGCCGGACAGCCGTGGGTCGTGCATATGATTGCAGAGGGACGAGACATCACATTGTTTTTTCAGTGCCACGCATGGGCAGCGAACCTTTTGAGCCGGCAGTCCCCAACTGTCTCATTGATCCGACCGGGAGAAACGTGGTATGGGACCAGTTACATCATGCTGCAGGCTGCAGCGCATGGTGACGTTGCATCGGCCTTTGGATGCATTTGTGAGCGTTGTCGCCTGGGCGACGTCCCCGTGGCTCTTTGCGCTGAGGGACGGCTCATGCAGGTGCTTTGACCTTTTTTGCGATCCACGGTGGTGGCAACAGGTGGAGCTTGTTTGCACCATTATTGAACCAATTTATGAGCTCCTGCAGCAGGTCGATTCTGACAAGTGGAGGGTAGGCGATGTGTGGGGATTGTTGGAGCGCCTAAGGATCACGGTTGACAGACTATCGCTTGATGAGGCTTGTCACGAGCCCGTCAAGAAGATAGTCAAGGAGAGGTCGAATATGCTTTTGACCCCCATTCATTGTGCTGAGTACTTGTTGCACCCCAAGTACCACAACATTGACCTTTTGACGCACGGGACGACAGAGGAGCGTACATGGGAAGTCAGATTGAGGGTGTTCGACAAGTCCCGTTGATGACCGTCGTGTAGAGTTCTCTGCAGGACTTCCACGACGAGTACCCCACACCTGCTCACTGAGAGGGGGGCGTTGGGGATGCGAGCGTGGAGGGGCCTGACTTTGATCCTGTGGAGTGGTGGAGGGTGCAGGGGGCCAGTCATCGGGTGTTGCGGGACATTGCCATGCGGTGCTTGGGTGTGTGGACCACAGCCTCTCCGTGTGAGAGGAATTGGTCGACGCATGACTTCATTCAAACAAAGAGGCGCAACTGGTTGGGGGTTGAGCAGTTGGAAAAGCTTGTGTTCTGTCATTGGAACCTCAAGCTTCTCAAGAGCAGTCGCGCACATGAGGGGTTTATCGGGGCTGGTTTCCACGGGGTAGGATTGACCAACGTGGAGAGGAGGGCCGAGGACTTCCCTCGCTACGAGCCAGATGAGATGGCTCCCGGGACGTACGTCCCGACGAAGATCGAGAGGGAGGTCGACCGCCTCAGGAGACAGTCGAGGGGCAAACGCTTGGCGAGGGTTGCATCAGCGCTGGCCCACCAGATTCGTCACTAGGGCGGGGACGAGGTTCAGGGGGATGACATTATTGATGATGATGTCTCTTAGTTGACAGAGCCTTATCGAGGAGACGGGTTCTTAGAGCGGAAGGCCCCTATGACTATGAGCCCTGCAAGTCGGGTGCTCCCGCCACGAGCGGCGGATGGTGGTGTAGGCGTCCCTGTCGCTATGCTCGCACCGGAGGCATGTTCCCACAACCTGCCAGTAGAGGATGCAGATGACATGTTGGTCGGCACCGATGCAGACGACAAGAGTGTAGGAGGGAGTCACTCAACGCAGGCCGCTCGATGGTCTACCCCTTCAGGAGAGGCAGGCACGCCTGGTGCCTCGGGAGATGAGCAGACGTCGCCCACCAGGTACATGCAGGATCTTCCTTCCTTTGGTGCACAGTCGCCGGCGTCGGGCGCGGTTGGTGAGACTGGTCCATCTCCATGCATGGCCGCTGACGCCGAGCGCACTATGACCGTCGCCACCGTTAACGACACAATGTCTGCGGCTGCCACCTTTTCGAGCCCCTATCGTGCAGTGGAGCGTTGCGCGTGGCGGTCCCACACCCATACGTAAAGTAATTCTTGTGTTGGACCTCACGGTCGCATCACACCTTAGCGAAATACCACTCGGATTCTGCACGCGTGCTATACCTCTCGCGAATCCTTACGACAGGTTAAGGATCCCACGAGGTACAACTTACCTCCACCTGCAGGAGTTGTCACCATCGCTTAGGTGGGCATATCCCTGCTGAGCTAGTGACCCACGTGTGAAGGTTCTTATATGCAATCGCCGAGGTAAGTCAGCCGAGGGTGTTTTCTCGATCGCCATAGCATAGGCATACGCGCGGTAGAACGCCTTAAGACTAACTCGTATATTGTGCACCGAGAGCTAACTCCCTCAGAGCGACTATTTGATCAGGTCGACTTTCTGGACAGTCTTTCACGCTTATGTTTTCTATGATAATAATTATAAACTCCCTATCTGACCACGTGAAAACTTACAAGAATTTACTGTAGAGCGGTCCCCTTTCCTCGTGTAATCGTCAGTCTAATCTTCTCAGTAATCTCCCAATAGAGCCTAGACCATAGCTAGTCAAAACCTAGGCCCGGGTACGGTCTTGTACTTAGATACATATACGTACATATATATATAAAATATATATGTCAGGGGAGTGATGAGTGGTAGACCTCACTTTTCACAACTGTGGTGCGCCCCGTCCGAAAATCCCTGATGATCCCTCAAAGTTCAATTGACTATTCACGGTCCAACACCTGTGTCAATGCAAGGGGATCACATACACACATACAAAATGCAGACAGAGAATGCATTACAAGCGTCAACCTTTAATCCATTCATAGCAAGTCCCTCACTCACCAAAACCTTGAAACAACACTCCTTCCTACCTTGACTCCTCATGCCCAGTCCCTTCACCTTTTCAAAGACCTTAGAGAGTGATCAGGATAATTCAGGCTCAGACACAGGCGAAAATCCATCCGTTCCTTTTCTAGTTTTATCTTTAGGTGTGGGTATCATGCCATATGGAAGTTGAGTCGGAATTTTACCGACCTGTTATCCAATGATATTAGAATTGCAGTTCCTTACGGGTTTTCTTCCGTAATTTCTCCAGGCCCTGGAGTAATTGAAACATGTAGGCACAACACAGTCCGAAAGAAACTTAACATGCCATTTTCCCTATACTTGGATCTAGAAGATTCCTTTTAGATTTTGTGACCTAAAGATCGATGCTCATCGGTGACCCACTGTCTTAGCCTTTATCCTTATCTAATTATCAGGTTGTTGCCTTACGTTTTAGACTATGAACAATAGTTCATTCCCTGTTTATCCGACCCAACGATCCTACATAATTTTCTTTTGAGAACCGTTTACCAAAGTTTTTTTCTTGTCTCTTTCTTGGTAAGCACAAACAACATCGTCAATCCATCTTTGAAAGGAGTCATATGATAAGAATCGAATCAGAGTTTTCAGGATGAAGGGATGAGTCACTCAGGGCCAAGATCCCACCATCCTCACCTCAATAGAATCCGAAGTCGTTTGTCAGTAATTGATTGATCCAGTTTTATTGAGGTTGTCAATAATAGTATGGTAGACCGCTCGGGATCTACCCATCTTTTACTGGGCATTTATTCGTGATAGGGCAGACTTTATAAAGCCTGCTTCTCCTATCACTATTTGATATGGAAGCACAGGTGGCAGGCAATAAGGCAGACTTCTCGGAGTCTTGCTTCTCTTATCACCACCTCCCTTACCTGTGCAACCTAAGCGATATGGCATGTCTTAAAAGGCCTTGCTTCTCCTATCACTTATTTTGATGCATGACTGGTTGGCGATAAGGGAGACTTCGCGGAGCCTCGCTTCTCTTATCACTGCTTCATGCTATTATTGCGATAGGGAAGGCTTCTCGGAGCCTCGCTCCCCCTATCGGTTACTTGTACTGACACACGGCTGGTTGGTGATAAGGCAGGCTTCTCAGAGCCTTGCTTCTCTTATCACCGTATGTGTCATTATTGCGTTAAGGCCGGCTTCTCGGAGCCTCGCTTCTCCCATCGCTCTTTAAGTTTTCCTGACGACCTTGGTCGTCTCTTTTGACGCTTCTTGAGCCCTGGGTCACTCGAAAGACTTTAAGACTAGGCGGGTATGACCAATGATAGGGCAGGCTTCTCGGAGCCTCGCTCCTCCTATCGGTTACTTGTATGGACATATGGCTGGTTGGTGATAAGCAGGCTTCCCGGAGCCTTGCTTCTCTTATCACCGTACATGTCATTATTGTGTTAGGGCAGGCTTCTCGGAGCCTCGCTTTTCCCATTGCTCTTGCAAGTTTTTCTGACGACATTGGTCGTCTCTTTTGACGCCTCTTGAGCACTGGGGCACTCAGAAGACTTTAAGACTATGCGGGTAGGTCATACGAAACATGTACCCCATGACTAAAAGATCTTCCGCCTGATCCTCGGACTGCGTTAGCTTTAGATTTCGAGAGGATGTAGGTTTAAGTCATTGTGGAACAAAAATAAGTCGATGCAATTCATCATTTCAGTATCCGACCGCAACATGCACAAATCTTCAATTCATTGTGAACCCCTTTATCATTTGTAAGGTGGTCTATTAGGAAAAGGGAGACTGCACGGAGTCGATCCCCTTGCGGCCACATCCCAAAAGAAACATTCACATAGCAAGATAGTTACTCGGAACTTCTCGTTCTCACTATGTTTTACAGCAACAGTTAGTCAAATTCAGCTGAATCTCCTTCTACACAATCAGTTTTTATTCATGCTCTTCTTTCTTTATACAGACACTCACTCTTGACTTGAGTTTTAGTCCTGAAGAAAATCCTGACTCAAAGTACTCTCTTTATTAATACAAGCACAGACAATTACCCGAAGGTTATAGATTAAAGGTTCAAGGGTTAGGCATAAGTGTGCGTACGTGACTGTTCCCTGCCTCGAGAGTTTCGCTTGAACTCCGACAGAGCTCCCGCAATCGCCCTGTCACTTGGATGCGTCTAAACTGACCGAATACGGTATTGGAGTCTATTGTGTTTAAGATTTTAATTTCAGCGAGCAATTAAGAACAACATTTTCACATTCGCTTTCGAAAATATTGGTGTGCGAGGGGATTAGACATAGGAAAGGTGGAGGAGGATGAAAGAGGTAGAAGTCGTCACTCTTGACGACAATCCTCCCCTCTCTACTGCCTCGCACCCTTCCCACCTCTGACTCCCGCCCTAGCATGTAATGTCAAATAATAATAATAATAATAATAATAATAATAATAACAATAATAATTAATGATAATCAAAGCATAATGATATTTGAATTGGCGTAAAATATTCATGTATGGCACACAACTCTCAACAAAATCTTTCCCCCGATCGTTATATCCCCAACGACTTGTTTGTGCATATTCACAACACACTCTTATCCAACTAGGATCTACCCTAGATGTCCCACGCACACATGTACCTACACACGCTTGCAGATGCGGAGGCTATGGCCAACCTTCGGCTTTTCAACTTATTTCGGCTTCGGGTTCCCTCATACCCCCGCACGCACTACACTCTAACAATGCTTCCACATCTCTCATCAGCGCACAAGTGCCGCAACACTTCCACATTTCTCATGCAAATGAACAATTTGCCTGAGCGGGAGGCTGGCCAGTCCTTATTTTGCGTTTGAATCCTCATTTGGGACCGTCACAACCTCTGTTGTAGTTGACCCATCTAGGCCTGGTACCACATGCCTGCGGTTGCTGACTGAGCCCGCGAGTCACGACTTTTCATCTGTGAGACATGACTATTGACTGTGGAATGCGATTCTTGCCTCTGATTGTCTGTTCGTTTTCTATCTGCCAGTTCATCAGTTTTACAGTTTTCTAGCATACTGTTGGGGTTCAACCTCCTGACAGGTTGGTGATAGTCCAATAAAACAGTCTGACACATTTCATGTCTTTATGTATATTGAAAACGACGACACACACTCTCACACATAGAGAGAGCAAACACGGAGAAAGCGAGGGAGAGCAAATCAGCCCTATGTTTTGCAATAATGGTGAGGCAATCACATAGGCTGGAGAGCAGAAGGTAGGCTGGTGGCGGACAAATGCAAGGAAAATGAGATATAGCAAAACGACAGAAATCTAGACTGCTAAGTCACATTGAAAGTCAACAAGTCCGAAAGCTTTTCAGAAATAGTGATGCACTGATGTTCCTCCAACTGAGAACCAAAGTACCGAGTCCGAATATCTATGAGAGCATACATCTCGTCATCACCGATATATGTATCCAGAGTTAATCCTTCTACTTAACAATCAGCGCTTAGACTAACACAGTTTACTGGCAGCCTATGAATTGACAATGCAATTGTCGACATCAACAGCAGAATCGAGGTACTTGAAGATGTCGTCTCCTATCGACCATCTCCAAAACCAGGTACGTGTCTTTCTCCTTTGCCTCTCTGTCTCTCTTTCACTATCCCTCCTTACCCTTTTGTACGCTACTGTTCCTCTCTGTGTGTTTGTCACTGTACACTGTGTGACTGTGTATGTCTCACTGTGCACTGTGTGACTGGGTCTCCGTGTGTGTGTGTGTGTGTGTGTGTGTGTGTCTGTGCGTCTATGTCACAGTGTATGTGACACTATGTTTGTGTCTATGTTTGTCTGTACCTTTCCTCTTAGTGGTGTTCAACACTTAGACTACTATCCTACAGCTCCATAGCAGCCTACATCTATACCGGACATCCAGATGATGTTTGTAGCAACAACAAGTACATGCAGATGTCGCCCATCAGACCTTTGCAACGTCTAGGCACCTGCCCCTCTCTCTCTCTCTCTCTGTACATATCCATTTACGACATTCATATATCTTCAAACAGAACTGCAGAGAGGAAGAAGAGGACAATCCAACGAAGGATGTTACAAACTGTTTCTTTTGGAGTTTCACTGACCCATGAAGAATTTGAATCCTCAATGCTCGAGTGTGTTTAGACTCAACATGGAGGTATTTGGCCGTAATCCTAGTCAATATTACGATCCCATAGGTACCTTGCATCGATCAAGAAGAATGAAGACGCAGTTGCCGCTGTCGTCTCTTCAGGACATCTTTTCTTTTCTCGATCCTCATTCATTTATTCTTGTCTCTCGTTCTTTGCTCCTCCCATTCATTATTGCAAGTATCCGGTCTTTATGCTGACCAGGTGTATAATATATCATCCACGAGGCGTAGACAAGCATAGTCTATGGAGTAAGGGTAGGAACATTTTGGATCAACTTCAACAGCCGATGCAGTCAAGACTTCGAACAACCTCACCCACAGTCACTCGCGAAGACGAATACGGTTGTTAATGTAGAGCTACAATAGTGACAACGAAACGGGATGAACTCGTTCCCTTGATGCACGACTACTCTAGAACTTCATCCCCAGATGTGCACAATCATAGGGAACCATGATCATGATTAAGTAGGTTTGCCACGTACGCATTTACCTTCCTTTTCTCCACTGTGCTTAAGTCCTCTTTCTCATGTGCTCGTTCAACCCGTCTCCCTATCGTACGTCTCTCCTTCCACGTGGTTGTCTTCCTCCTTCTCCTTCCCCGTTACTCAGTGTTTCTCCCCCTTTGTGTTTTGCGCTCTTCTCCACCTCGCACCGCGCCCGCCTTTCCTCCTACGTGGTGCTCAACGCCCAACAGACGATCACTCAACAACTACCAACCTACGCATTGACAATGCAACTGTTGACGCCGTCAGCATCCTCTTCGTATTATATTCGGCCAAAAATTAAATAAGTAAATAACAATATATATATATATGGTCAAACAAGGCTACCCGGTAAACCAAAGTCAGAGAGGGAAAAGAATACAACAAACAAGGGTCGCGATCGACTGTTTCGTCGGACTCTCATTGATCCATTAAAAGGTTGAACTCTTTCTCTATCTCTCTCTCACACACTTCTTTTTCTTCTTCTATGCGGCTATGACCTCATGCACCGTATGATAAGTGGTTCTCCTTCATTCAACTCAACTGTTCAACCTCCCATGCAACGTCGTTCTCCTTTATGCCCACGTGGCGTTGCTCATCATTTCTGCATAATGCTACTCTACGTTCCCCCAGATTCCGCTTCGTCTCTTCATCTTTTAATCCTTCCTTCTCCCGTTATATCTCCTCCCTGACCAACCTATTCTCTTCTTTTCTTTCTCACGCCCTCTGTCTTCTTCCTTATAGAATTTTTCCTTACTACCTGTTTACGCGATATCCTATCTAGTGACTGTGTCGCTTATAACGTAGTACTTACCACCACGTATCCTGACTATAATCGAGGCCAGGAAATAGCCTTATCAGTAATAATAATAATAATAAATAATAATAATAAATAATAATAATAATAATAATAATAATAAATAATAATAATAATAATAATAATAACAATCATTATAATAAGAACAACAACAATAATAATAATAATAACAATAATAGTAATAGTTATAATAATAGCAACGGATTAGTTGCAGTATACTAGTTATTTTCCCGGCCAGATGCAGCCAACAGAGGGCGCGTTGTGTTCGGGAACGAAAATCAGATTGCCGCAGCGAAGATCACCATGAGCGTTGGTAAGTCTCTCTTTATCTCACACACTCACAAGCCCACACACACGTATACTAGCATACGCGCACACACACACACACACACACACACACACACACACACACACACACACGCACTTGAGTACACATGCACACACACACACACACACTCGCAGGAGTAGTAGTGCATGCTTCCAAATCATAGTGGTAGGTTCGCTCGACTTTGCTTCATCCTAGCAATTAAAGCATCACACGAGTCGCCGCCCGATCGGGGCTTACACACACACACACACATATGTAACCAGACAAACAAGTGTAGCAGTGTATATTTCCATGTTCTAGCGTGAGATACATTAAATTTTGCACATCCTATTCGATGGAAGCACCATGAGGGCAACCGCGAGGTCGGAGACCAACCTTTAAAGCTCATAACCAAAATACAGCGAAACAACATCGCAGCATGATCCGTCATGATGCGCATCATATCGAGGTCAGGACATAACCAAATGATTGGCACGGCGGGTGTTGATCCCCTTTGAGAGGGGCAACTCGAGGCTTGAACCATGCTGCAAAGATCATCTGTAGCCCATCAGAAAACGACTCGCCCATTTCCCAGACAAACTGAAAGCACATCGAAAGCATGCGCAGAGAGCCCCCTCGTGACTCAAGTACGAGGTCTCCAAACCTATGCCTGGAACGTCACCTTCATCGACTGTGAGGAAGGTAAGTCTCCCCCCCTTTTTCTCTCTCCTCCTTTCTTCTTCTGCTTGTCCTTCTACATTCGCCTCCTTCCCGCAATGTTATTCTCCTTCTCGTTGTTTTCTTTCTCCTTTCTCACGGTACTCTTTCTCCATTCTCGCGGTATCCTTATCTTTCCCTGCAATACTCTTCTTCCTTCGTTTCCCTCGAACTTACATGGTCATAATCGTAGCTACTCGTTAATAGTATAAATAATATTAATGATAATAATAGTAGTAATAATAAAAATAATAGTAATATGGGTGACGTGAATGTATTCATACTATCTATCTAGTTAGATCCACTAAAAAATTAGGGTATCTCATCTCCGGAGATTCGCTGCCCGATTTTCAACGTAGATCATCAAGCAATCTGGTAAGTCTCTCTCATTTTTCCTCCTCCCTCTCCCACTCTTTCCTTCTTTTACACACACACACTCCTACATATACACACGCACACACACGCACATACTCCTACATATACACACGCACACACACTCACACACTCCTACATATACACACACACACTCATACACACACTCCTACATATACACACGCACACACACATACTTACGATTGGCAATCCCGCGGTGAGCCGGAGCGAAGGCGTGACAGAGGACGGGCGCAAGTGGCGGTGTATATTTCTACGTTGTACTGGAAGATTCATTCGGGTTTGCTCCCCTGCTTGGTGGAAGTACCATGATGTCAGTCGCGGAACAAAAGACTTACTTGCTTTCTTTTCTTCGTTGTCGTCGCCGCAAGCCGTCAGAACTTAGATGTCTCCTCGCCTATCCTTCCGCCTTCTTTCCCTTACTTAGTCTCACCTTCTTCCCCGTTCTCGTGTCCTCCTCCTTCGTACTCCCTTCCCTTATTCGCTTCTCCTTCACCTCCCTTCCTCCTTTTCACGCTCGCATATATTCACGCATGATCACAACTGCACTATCATGCTTACTTCCTCGTGCGCATTCACTCGCTTCTCAACACTCACGCTGTCTGCTTACGTTCGTGCGCATTCACTCACGTTGTTTGCTCACGTTCGTGTCGTGCCTGCGGATAATGGCGTCTGCAGTTAACACTCCTGGCCGCTACCCTTCTTCACCTTCCTAGTCTTGAGCCTACTGTAACTCCTTCCTCTGCTCTTGCTTATCCGACCGCACTACTCTCCCCTTGCTTCCTTCGGGCTGAGCTAACTCAAGGGTCGGGCGGATTCGTTCCCTGTACCCTTCGCTTGTCACTCTTATGCCTAAACCTACCAACCTAGCTCCTTCTTCGGATAGAAGGGGAACTACTGAGTTATATGTAATGTATTGGGGCTCAGTTGACCTAGTGGTCTGAGCTTGTAATCTCAGTTTATATGCTCGCACGCTTGAGCTTGTATGTGACCCTCAAGGGCACTTGGTCGATCGGAAGGCCCAAAGGTCGTGACCGCAATACTGAGGTTGCTGTAGGAAAACTTAAGTGGTGGAAAAGGGCCCCTCTACTTTGTGCGGGCAACGGAAACACTCGAGTGGTAGATAAGTCGGTATCACACCAAGTAGAGGTAACTGTGCTTGGCATTCGAGCCTATGATGGACTAGACCATCGAGTTTTTAGTATACTGTTGGCTCGACATTTTGTGATCTAGGATTAGTCAATTGGTCAATTCCGCCACGTGGACGAATCTTCAACCATTCTCTTTGCGCGACGTCTACAACTTGGCAGACTATCCATCATTCGTGGTAGGATGCTTCGATTATTAACCCGTGTACCCATACGCCTTGGATTCGTTGATTAAGGATTTTGCCGTATTAGGACAACGTTCCTCTATATTACTGTTCACACTGGCTTTATCATAGCAGTCGTTTATGTTACTATGCCCATTGTGAAAACAAGGCCAAATACCCTTGTAAGGGTATTTGTTCCGACAGTGTTCCCGGACCCTATTAAGCGACGTCCCCGTCGCCGGGAAACTATATACAAACAAAGATGTCTTCTGACAAGTGATTCGTTAAATTCGAATCCTTGGAATGAAGTGTAGTTGAGGATTGTCACTTTCAACTCACGTTTCATTGTTACTGTTGGGATCTTAACCCGGGTCTCCCATATCACATCCATAATAAAAATTCAATGATTTGAGATGGGGATACTTGTTTTGTACTACAATACATGAAATCGTCAAGTGTAACAGTGTTTCCTTCTTCCCCTCACCCTTAGATTTTTGGCTCAGGTCATCGTTGGTTGTCTTCAGAGTCAGTGTCCTCATGCGAACTCAACCCCTCAGACACGAGTCCTAACCGAGACCTTGGTAGTCAAACTTTTGGTACCCATGACCGAAGTTGTCGAGCGTCCTGCTCAAAGCCTAATACAGGAGGACAAGCAGTCTCCATCTTGACCCACCACAGTCTTGTTGATCAAGCCGGAGCTACGGCCCACCTCGTTGTTGTTTAACGATGGTCACCCTCGTTAGTTGGGCAGCGATGGGGCATTCATCCTATTTTTTTTTCAAAATACACAGCTCTCACGATAATTTTCGACCCCTCCGACATCCACCTAAATAGATTCTTTCATTGGAGTGGCCATCCCTTTTGGTTTCCATTCGAGGCCAAAGTCGGAGGGTTTACCGCCCGGTTATGCTAGGTCCACAGCCCACACTGGGAATTACCTCCCAGCCTGTGTAGCACACCAAACATGTTCGGAGTTTTTCCGAACATCCGAACATCCGAACATGTTCGGGTGTTCGGCCGAGCGCCACCCGAACATGTTCGGCCGAACATATTAAAAAAAAAATAATAATAAAAATAAAAATTCCAATTTTTAACTCAATCTTGGTTATGAATTTGAGCATATCTCCACGACAAATGTTGTTTGTATTATTATTTTATATAACATATATTTTTTCCAGAGTTTTTGGAGATTGTTTTTTTTTTTTTTTTTATGTTCGCGTTCGGAGACTTTCGACACTCGTTTGCGTTCGGTCACCGAACCCGAACACGATGATACACAGGTCCCAACGATGCCAATTTCCACCAAAGGCTTGGTAAGTCATGCCCTCACATTAACCCTTTAAATGGATGAACCATGTATTTTCAAATGATCAAGATGTCATTAACTTAATTGATCGTCGTTAAGTTGCCACTCAGAGTTGTACCTTCCAAGTCTCTGATCACAGCTCGGTCAGGTACGCACATCGGGGTCATTTTAAATATACGAATCCAAATCCAAAATTTATAATACATACTTGTTTGACTTTCTGCTTGTCAAAATCGATCAAAACAAACATCATATCCAAAGTAATAACATTTATAATGTTTCAATTCACTGAGAGAATTTGAACATTATGTAGCACAGTAGCATGTGTTTTCTTAAACATGCATATATAATCATATGAGTCTGACAATGATAGACGAAGGAGGATTCTCATTTCAAAGACTCAAAACATAGATAAAAGTTTACTCACAATGCAAAAAGTGTTTTGTGGTCACCGACTCATCCCCCTTCGAATATATATATATAAATACAAAACATGTTTCATGGAATCATATATGAGACTCACTTCCTCTCGTCCTCATACCAATCTCAAAACTATCATCTATTATAGTCTATCTCCCTATCAAAACTTTAAGAGAACGGACACACATTCATCCCTAGACTCCATTCTACTTGTCCATATTGTCTTTCATCCAACAATTCTCAATTTGTCTTAAAAATCCATGAATCTACTTATTTTTAATCCAGAAATGTGATGGTCAGCCCCAATATCATATGGAGCTCCACCCTGCCACCCTTAGGGGTCCTCGGGATTGATTGTCATGTACTAGTAACCAACATCCTTCGTGAATCAAACCTAACCACCCCAAACTTAATGTATTTCGCTAGTACTTCATAGTCATCTCTGAAGTGTCCTTCTTCTATGCAAAAGAAGCACCCACTTCTGGCTTTCTTGTTTCTAGCCTTCTTCTTGTGATGTCGAGTTGAAGTCACTGTCTGACTCCCTGGCCCTTCCGATGACTCCAAACTGGACAACCCTCTCTTTTTAGTGCCTTCCTGCAAAAGCAACGTCAAACATTCACTTTTTCATTCCTCAGAGGCAGGAGGCTCCACAATCCGTGGCTCATTTTGCGGCCCCAAACTAGTGGGTTCATCTTTCCCAACAATTGTCTGCTTTGTCTTCTTTCTCCCCTTTTTGTTCTAACAAAAAATCTCTCTCTTCTTTTCCTGCCATCTTAATCTCAAATCCCTCTTCATCTTTCTATTCTACCACCTTGGTGGCTTCCCTGCCTTTTTCTTGGTGGTTAAGTTTGAGTTCTTCTATCCCTTTCAGAATCTCCCCTCATCTCTTGTCCCAAACCTGGTTCATTTTCTTTCTTCTCTCTCCCTGCCATCTCATCTTCCAACTCCTGGCTCTTTTGAGCTAGGGAAACCCCCAACGCATCCACTTGCTTAGACAACTCTTCTTTCTCTTTCTTTAGTTTTTCCACTTCTCTTTTTATCCCTTTCAAACCCTCTGTGAAGTTTGTTACCCGGGCATCCCTATCCTCCTCCATTTTCCTCAACCTGCTCATCTCTCTCAGAAGCCCAGGGATATAATCCAAAAACCTTGGGTGAAGAGCTCGGTGTTTTCTTTAAGCTCTGACTGAAGCCCCTTCCCCAATGCATTCAAGTCCTCACCAGTCTCCCTTGCTTTCTTTCTTCTCTCCATCTTCCCCAGTCTCCTTGCAATCTCAGCATATTCCTCAAAGAGTCTTGTGCACTTCTCATCCAACATTTCATGCAATCCCATCAGTTTGTACAAGTTGGTAGAGTGCTTGAAACTTACTACGAGTTATGACAGCAACATCCTCTCAAGCCTTACATCCCAAAAGGAGTTTGCGGGCAGATGATCATTTTGGAGCATCTTGATCACATAGTCTCTCCACCCTCTCTTCCGCTTCTCCTTCAGAGCTCTTTCCCCTTTGTTTTCCTGTCCTTCTTTTACCTCCCATTTTCTCTGGGATGAACTTTTACATTCCACCCTTCTTTCTTCCTCCTCTTTTTTATCCGCCTCCTTACTTTTTTCTGGTCTCACCCTCTTTTCACCTCTTCTCACGAGAGATGGTTAATGGAACGCCAAAAATTTGGTGTTTTTCGCCGCACCACCACAAGCAATGTTGTCAAAAATTTCGCGAACAGACAATGCAGGCTCATAATACAAACATCAAAAGAACAAACAGGCAAAAAAAAACAAAAATACAATTTTAAAAAACACTATAAAACCCTATTCGGAGTAGCTTTTAGAGTTCGCCAAAATTTTTACCGAATTCGGTGTTTTTGCCAATTTTTTTGTCAGTGGTCCAAATGCATCGAAACTGAATATAGATAAACCCTAAGGCACATACATGTCACACAAAAAAACAAACAACAAAAAAACACAAACTCGAAAAAATATGGCAGTTTCGGTGAAAAATCCGCCGAAAATGACACCACCTATTAACCATATTTGCTTCTCACTTCCATTTTTTTCCTTTCATCCTCGATTGACCTTCTCACTTCAGTCTTCTTGGTCCTTGGTGCCTCAATCATCTCTTGAAGTTTCTCCCTTTCTATTTCTGCCTCCATTTTTCCTCTCTCTATTTCCCCTTTTTTCAAAGTTTGTTCTGCCCCTCCTTTCCTGTCCTTGGGTAAAGTCCCCGACCTGCTCCTCAAATTTTTCAAAGGTATATCCTCTTCCTTCCCCTCTTCATGAGCCTTTCTCTGTAACTCATCTTTCTCTCTCTCAATCCACAACCCTTTCTCTTGCAGTCTTTCCTTCTTGGTTTGGTCTTGCCTCAACTGGGTGTATGTCATTTACAACTTTATTACTATTCCCTGCCAAGTACAAGTTTCTTCCACAATTCTCTTCACTTTATCATTCTCACTCATTTATGTCCTTTCCAACAGCCT